TTGATTCGACGAAATTCTTGATTGTTGCCCCCGTGGAAAATTCACCAAATGGAACACAGCCTTAATGTGCCATTATAACGTTCTCTATAGGAGAAAATCACCAATCTGCTATGCATACAGTCAGGAGCAAATATTAAGCCGAGAGTCTACAATCAAAGACTTAGCCCAAGTAACATTTTAAGTTTTATGAAATACTACAAAGCAACTATAAAACAACATTCATAAAACCCTGGTCAAGGCTATTTTGTCATTAATGCATCCACCAAAACCTCATTAAGACTAGAATATGTCTAGTTGGCCCACCCTGGAGAAGGTTCTAAAGGGTGTATTCTGAAAGCTCGTCAAGATTGATTTACTACAAAAAGTTGTATGACGAACGCATTGAGAACCATTTTAAAGCTACAATAAAAGCTATTTAGCAACAATAAAAACCCTTTCCGAGCCATTTCCCCTAGCCACATGCTGGATCCACTAGGAAAGCAACAATCAAGATAGAAAAGGATTTATGAAGCCGATCTTATCAAAATAATTAAAATAGAAACTGATAGTATAAAAATCATGTTGAATATCCAAATTTATTACAATAGTTCTCATTAAGTGGCCTAGTTTTAGGTGCCATATCAAATTTTATGTGAAATGTACGTGAAAACTTCGAAAAAATTAAGCCCACCCTCGTAAAACGTCGATTTCTTCAGATCGAGCTTGGCCGAGATTTTTTTTTTATTATTTTCGCATTTAAATGTTTGCTCATTGCTAAATTTACCAAAATATTTACTAAGTTATATCTAAGGAAATATTGATTGAAAATCGAAGATTGTAAAAAACAAGCAAACTAATTGTAACATGGCGGTGGCATAAAAGTTGATTTTCATGTGTCATTTGTGAAAAAGTTGTTTTGCTTTCAAGAATTCCTTAACAAATTACTAAGGTATATCAATTCTCGGCAATCTAAACGTTTTATAAAGCCGAACGCTTTTCATACACAAAAGTTACTTAATCTTTCAAAAAAAGATTTGAGTACATACACTGGTTTGATAACAGGACACTGTCCTTGTAAATATCACCTGAAAATCATTGGTAAACTTCATGTAACTTAAAGAGTGAAAGCTCTGAACATTTGCTGTGTGACTGTGTTGCACTATTTCATAAACGATGCAGATATCTTGATAAGGGTCTGATGAGACCTTGGGAAATCTGGGCTGCTGCTCCCAATCAGGTAATAAATTTCATAAGGAATGTATTACCTGCTTGGGATGATTGCTTACAACAGTAGTGGTAGTTACTCAAACAATAGTGGCTTACCGCTACGTTACACACTTAAATTTTTTCGCCGAGATTCCAACAGCCGAGCAGTTCTGCAATTTATTTTGCTGAGATTCAGTAACACAATTGCCGAGACTCAGCTAACAAATAACATTTTGCTGAGATATCAGCTAACAAACAGATGTTTTGCAGAGATATCAGCAAAATTAAATGCCGAGGTAATCGGCTGTTGGAGATTTTACCGAGCTACATTAAGTGTGTATGGCATAAATAAAAAGAGGATACACCACAATAGATCAAAGTAATGGTCGCGGTGGTATTATGTCCCCAACATAGGAAAAAAAAGGTATATCAAGAGCCACACATGAAAAGGGCATACAAGCTTTTTGTAAACAAACCTTTGTAGGCCCTTTTCTCACCAACCGAGAGTTGCTCACGCACACTAACAACATCATCGGGAAGGGTAAAGATTCCCCTACCCGATGATGATAATGGTTTGCGTTGGTGTCATATGGGTGGCGAGAAAAGGGCATAAGAAGGTTTGTTTACAAAAAGCTTGTATGCCCCTTTCACATGTTGTTCTTGATATAAATTGGCTTTTATGAAGAAAACTTGCAGGCTGAATTGTATTTATCTAAAGCCATTTTGCTTGATCCTAACCCGTTCAGATTTATGGCAGCATTTATGGAGGCAAAGTTGCCTGCAAAAAGTTAAACGTCAAAGTTTGTTTATCTTTCGATAGTTGCGCCACAGACAACCAGACGTAACTCTTTGAAAAAGTTGTTCTTGAAAACATAGTATCTCAATACATAGGACCTCAGTAGCGACATCTCTCGGGCTTCTCGCGGAAAACAAGCTTGCTCGCTAACTTGCAAACAATATTGCATAAAAGTTCTATAGAATGTATAGAAACGTCAAAGTGACCCGATGCCAGCGCTGCGGCGAGTAGTTCGCGAAACTGATAATATTCAAATCAACCGTTAAATGCGTGAACGAAGATACACAATGAAGAGTTACGTCTGTTTGTCTGTGGTTGCGCTGTGAGATCCAGGATTCTTCCAGGCGATTTTCCCCCGATGGATTGGGAGTAGTTACCCGAGCAAAGTCGGTTAACAAAATGAAAGCAAATCGATATTAAAGTGTGCAGTTCCTATCATAATGAAAACTCATTTTGATTTCAAATGTTGCGACATAAGTCTGATATCATATTGTGCTTTCATTATGCAGTCAAGACGTTTTAAATGAAAGCAACTTAACTTGAAGTTCTGCTGTTTACGTCTTGTTTAAAATTTAATTGAAATTCATCTGTCGTTGAACTAATGATTATCGTTTATCTGATTTGTTTAACACATTTCAGGTCATTCGTGACTTGCCCGCGGTGAGATTGGAGCCTAAGTCATTCAGCTTGAGAAACATGAATGGTAACCATTTACTCTAGGCCCGTATTCAGTTAAACATTATGAATGCAAAATCAGTAATCAAATTGATTTCATTGAAAGCAGGATTAGTTTTCCATTTGCTTCAACAGTGTAACATTTTGCTCTCATTTTTGCTGTGTTAACCGTTAAGTCAACCAAAATGAGATCAACTGGAGTATTCAAAATAAGTTACATCATAACAGCAAATTTTGATTTCAATTTGATGTTCAGCTTTGCTCGGGTACTCAGATAGTTTGCGATACTGTTTTACAACATTATTTCGCATTTCGAACAGCTGGAAGCGCAATCGTTCCCGTAAAAGATCCCCTTCTTCCGGATGGTTACAGAAGTGCACCATCCAATGATGCAGAGATGTACGGTTTTCGAAGAGTCTTTCGCCGAATAAAATCGCTGCTTTGCATCGGAAACCAACTACTGTCCACTAACTGACAGTTTCAGTGGTTTGCTGTCGGTTGTTATTTCGATTGTCATCGCAAGATCTGGAGAAGGCTGGTATGTTTTTTTAACTTTAGACAATGTTTTATGAGTTCGAGGGCCCCGCTCACTTTACTCTTCTCCGACAGATGGTCAGTCGTTGGTGGTGTGCTGGTTCTTCTAAAGAAGTAAATTTATTTGAAATTGACTTGATTTTTTCATCCTACTTCGTCTATCCTTCGAGATTTCCTTGTCATAAATTTGGCATTTATTAACTATGAGGAACCAAGCTCAATTTGTAAACAAAGTAATTGGGGAGTTAATGATGCACTTTAAAAAGGCTAAAGAGCAGCAATAAATGCTTTTTTCTCTAATGCAAAAACCTAATTGTTTTATGGTTGCTTTTATAATGATAGAACACGTTCATAAAGTATTTTATCATGACATTAATAAACAATTGCTAATGACGTTTATGGTTTAATTACAGAACAGTTTTAAGGAGGGATTGAAAACTGTTTTAAATTTATTTTTAAAACAAGACAGTTTTTGACTCTCTTGCATTACTATAAAAGGTTTTTTAAACAGCAAAAAGCTGAATTACTAAGCAGGAATGTTGTACATTTTAAAATGCTATATTTAAACTAAATGGATTGTTCATTGCCATTATAAAACCATCATAAATCAGAGTGGATTCTAAATGGTTACTGAATTGTTACTTGAGAGGCGTCATGCTTCCAGGCATAGAAAATCATTTTCACTCATTTCATGCATTAATTTGTCTTTAACTTGTTTCATCAACAGAGTAAAGTAAATAAAATGATGCATGAAGCTTTTGTAAGTTTTATGATTAGCTACAACTTTTGAGAATAATTCAAATCTGTAAATACACTTACATTCAAGGACCATGTGGCTTCTGTTTCCGCTAAGACCTCTACTCAACTTGGTTTCATATTTCGTTTCGCCAAAGACTCCAGACTTTTTTTATCTTTATTTAAGAAATGTTTAGCCATAGGCTAGTTCATCTCTAAACTTCAGAGACTTTTATTGTTTGAAAACGCTCTATTGTTCGCTAGTCCGCTCTACATTAAAGTGCTGCTCCGTAGTATGGGATCCATTTTACAGCAACGGTATGAATTGTATTGAGACCATGATGAAACTACAATTACAATTACTTACTGCTCGCCGTGGCGTCTCTAGGGCTGTCTTCATCTCCTACAATCGAACATTGGTTGCGGCTCACTTCTACCGCTGTTGAACGTTAATATAAGAGTAAATTTACGTTCTCATTATTTTTTAAACGTCCCGGCCTCTCGCACAAACTATGGTGCTAATGATCCGTTAATCAGTTTCTGTGCTCTGTGTATTTAGATTAAGATTGATTCTGTTATAAGTAATATCGTGTTGTGTATTTAGGACTATGTTTATGTAAATCTGTAGGATTCAATGTTATCTGTTTGTACTGAAAATGATGAGGTTTGCAGGTGTGGGTTTTTCCCTCCAGTAAAGTAGCCGTTCTCCACCAAACCCGGGCATTCGGATTTTCAAATAAAATTGTTACGCCAAACATGTTCAGGGTATCAATCTATTACTGTCCGTTATGCGCCTATACGTACCTAATGCGTATGTATGTGATGTACGTGTGTGTTGTTTGCGTATGCTTTATTGTTTAAATGTGTATCGTTGCTTCAGATCAATCAATCCGACCATTCAATTCAGTCAATCGTCGGAATCTTTTGCGAAAGCATCATCACCCAACACTTCTGCAGTAGGTACCTACATCGAGATTTTAGGACCTACCATGCGGTTTCGGTTCAAATCTGCAGAGAACCCGGAAATAGCGAAATGGGAGATGAGATGCTTGTGGTATGTTAAATGAAATGCTGGTTACTTGTTAATTGTCTTGCTTTATTCTAGCGAACTTAACTCAATATTTTGTTACTTGTATTCGTTTTAGGAGAAGAATAAGTGTTGCATTTGTGGTGGTGGTGTAACTTGTTGACTTGGATGAGTTCTTTTATTTGTTAGTGTGTAAGGTAGGTAGGTAGGTATTTATTATTTTGTTTAGCAGGATTACTCTTAACCATAGATCCGGAGAAGGATGCGTTAGAAGTTACTTTAGTCGGTTTGGTTTGGTTACACGTTTCTTTTCTGCCTGTCTGTTGAAACTGCACTATTTACATTGTCAGCCAGATGGCCAGCCGTGGGCGGCAATCTTTCTGTTTTGAATTTGTATTTTCTCTTTCATAATCATTAGGAAACAGAAGTATCACACAAAAGTTTCAGATTTTCAACGTAAATTTAAAAAGCTTTGTTTTTATCTTCCTAAAAATACAGAACGAAGCACTAAATGTGTTCTTTTTTTAAGGGAAATTAGTTTAACTTATACTTAGTATCAATCTCATTACAGTAGTTTTCCTTCTATTCTGAATAGCTGAAGTCAAGTATAATGAGCAGTCACAAATGGTTTATTTTCCGGTTTATTTTGGCAGAGTTGCCACTGTTTGTCATTTAATCACTCACTCCTCTCTTTTTTTTTTGTAATAATTTAGCGGGCACTTTACATCTATATAAGCACGTAATTTTCAACAGGACAAATGTGTGATTGATTTCCTGAGTGTTTACTCTTCAGCAAGCATGACCTTTGGGCTTGTCAATATTCCATCTCTCAGTGCTTCGCGTCAGTAGCAGCAGTCGAAAAGAAGAGAGGAAATCGATTTTTCTCCCGATGTCTGGTACCACCTGTTGACTGTTCTTCGTTCAGTTCGTTGCCCAACTCGTCATCCGCTCGTCTCATATGCTTCGTATTGTTTTCTAAATCGTAAATGATAACAAATCAGCTGTTTTTTTGACTGTTCTGGAATATTTCTCAACCGATATGCGGGGATGATTGTGTCGCGTGTTTGCATATAAATAGAAACAATGAAGTGTGTAAAAGGTTGCCTTTTTTGTTTTATTTTCAGCAAATTAGAACTGAAATAAAAATTATCACTAAATCAAAAATGCGAAGCATTTGCATTGGGCAATTATTACTACAAAAAAGGGTTTACATAAAGTTTAGCTCGCCTGATCGAATGAATTGGAAACGATACATGAAACGTAATGAGTGGGGGAAAATGAAAATTTAAATTGTAAATTACAATTTTGGAAACTACGTCAAAAGAACTGAAGTTTTATTGCAATGTCCTTAAAGGTTCCTCGATATTGATTTCAGTAAATCGAAAGCTGCACAGTGCATGTTTTTTTTAAAATGATTTTTGAGGAAAGAAAACCAATTATCGACATTGTCTGCAATCAATCGATCATCATTTAGCATCATCAATCATCGTTATTCGTTCCTTTCCTTTCCTTCATTATTATAGTAATATTATTAATTAATTAATAAATATAAGACATTTTTTAAAAATCCTACTAACAATCCTCTTGACTCTTCCGAACACATCGCGCCACTTTCCGCTTGAATTCTGGATACGCCTCTCGCCACTCCTTGGCCGCATCGACATTCGCTGGCGATTCGTCGTTGGGATCGGCCAGCATCGAGATCACCGATATCAGAATCGTTTCCACGGTGTGCACCGGCAGCCAGCGTTCGGAGGCCTTCTCGTAGCCCCACTTGTCATCGCCAGGTTCGTGCAGAATGCTGATACAGACATCGCCGTTGCGTTCGATGTTCGGGTGCCAGATCTCTGTGACGAACTTCATGCGCGGCGGCCTCAAGGGATATTCCTTTGGGAAGTGCAAGTGTGCCTTGAAAAAACCACCCTCACTGTGAACGAAAGAGCAAAGTAAATCGGTGTTTGTGGTTAGTGTGGTTGTTTTAGAAAGAATACGAACAAATTAATAAAACATTGAAATGTTACCCTATTACAGAATTCATCAAACGGGACATCGTCGCAGTCAAGGGAAAAATCGAGATTGTAGTTGCTTCGGCTTATTTTCCTGGTGATGCCCCTGAGGTACCTCCTCCTGAGATCGCCTCATTAGTCCAATATTGCAGAGAATATAACAAGTCGTTCATCATTGGCTGTGATGCAAATGCGCATCATACCGTGTGGGGTAGTACGGACGGACATCAACAGTCGAGGTGAGTGCCTTTTGGAATTTCTCTCATCTTATAATATAGACATATGCAACAAAGGAAATGACCCTCCTTTTTCAAATGCCATTAGACAGGAAGTTTTAGACTTGACATTTTGCAACACTGCACTTTCTGAGAAGATTCGAAATTGACGTGTGTCAGATGAAATCTCACTTTTTTTATCATTAACACATTATGTGTGAATGGGGTGGAAGTGATTTACCAGCTTCTGCATTTAGAGATCCTAGGAAAACAAACTGGGATCAATATGCACAGTTGCTTAGATTCAGATATATTTACAAACGACGTAAAGATTGATTCTATCCAACAATTGGAATCATTTTCTGAAAAGGTAAACGAAAGTATTATACATTCCTACAACAGTAGCTGTCCTATCAAACGATCGTTTTCTAACAGGGATGTGCCGTGGTGGAATTTGAAATTGGAAAGCCTTTGGAAAGTTTCACGTAAAATGTTCAATAAGGCGAAAATCACTTCATTGGATTGGACTCAATATAAGAAACCCCTATCTGAATATAATAATGAAATACGGAAATCTAAGAGGCGGACTTGTATTCAAATGTGTGAAAACATAAACAGTACTCCTATAGTCGCGAGATTACAGAAAACTCTTGCGAAAGACCATACGATTGAACTTGGTAATCTTAAATGTCATGACGGAGGTTTTACCAAATCTCCCTCTGAAACTTTAAATTTAATGATGGAAACACATTTTCCAGCTTCGGTATTGTGTGTGGAATCAGAGAATTCTGATTCTGTTGGTGAAACGTGTTCTATAGAGACCTCGCCAGTGTCACTGAGAACAAAAAACACCATACCAGATATAGCTGATGAAATTTTCACAATTGCCAGAGTGGAGAATGCTGTGAGATCTTTTCAGGCCTTTTAAATCTGCGGGTGTGGATGGCATATTCCCGGCACTACTTCAAAACGGTGAAGCAATGTTCATTCCGTCTCTAACTAAGATTTATAAGGCGAGTTTAAGATTAAACTACATTCCATAAAAAAAACGGGAGTACCCAATCTTGGTGTATTAAGGACGGCCTAAACATTAATCCCGTCAAAAGTAGTAATCGTTCCTTTTACTAGAAAGAGGAAGTTCAACCTAAAGGAGTTCAAGCTTGGAGGAGAACAGATCCATCTTAGTGAACAGGTCAAATACCTAGGAGTTATATTGGATGCCAAGTTGAATTGGAATGCTCAGCTTGATTCTGTGGTTAACAAAGCAACCAGTGCCCTGTGGTTATGCTCCAAAACTGTTGGTAGAAAATGGGGTTTGAAACCAACAATGACAATGTGGATTTACACATCAGTAATCCGTCCAAAAGTAACTTATGCTTCGTTAGTGTGGTGGCCAAAAACGAAAGAGGCTACCGCACAGAGGAAGCTGGCAAAACTACAACGTCTAGCATGTATTGCTATAACGGGTGCGATGCGCAGCACCCCATCAAAAGCGTTAGATCGAAGACAACAAATCAAGAAGACTGGCAACTGCCGCTCAAAGGTAAATGCTTCGAACGAATTTGATAGCAAAGATTACATCCTCAGAAGAAGGGTTTGTGTATTTGCTCATTTTTTATGCGTTGCTTCCACCTTCACTCAAGCGCAGCGCTATTGTATCTGTCGCTTGGATTCTGGCAAAGTTGCCAGTCTTCTTGATATGGATGTCTTTGGTTAGATGCAATTCTCAAAGTACTGCCCATGCATGAATACGTGCAACTAGAAGCGGAAAGAAGTGCTCTAAGGCTCAAAAGGTCTAAAAAAGTCATGCCTGGTGACCTGGTTGATCACCTAAGCATTTTACAATACTTCCAAAGAGGACCAGTGATGAGTATGAATGGAGACTGGATGAAACCAGAGGAAAATTATGACGCTCCCTTCAACGCTTGTTGCGTTCGGATTGGGAAGTCGGTGGTCCTAGCGTTCGTCAAGGCTCAATCATATTTTTCACAGATGGCTCAAAAATTGGAACACAAGCAGGTGCAGAAATCTTTGGCCCTGGGACAAATATTTCAGTAGCGATGGGACATTGTCCAACAGTGTTTCAAGCGGAAATCGTGGCCATACTTGAATGTGTAAGTGTTTGCCTAAGGAGAAAATATAGATGTGCAAATATCTGTATTTTTTCTGACAATCAAGCAGCACTAAAAGCGGTTCATGCTTACAAATGTACATCAAAGATTGTTTGGGAATGTATTATCTTGTTGCGACAGCTGTGCAAATAGAACTCAGTAAACTTATATTGGGTTTCTGGACACTGTGGCTGTTGGGAACGCGACGAATTAATTAGTTCTATTCAAAATAATGATTATTGTTTTCACCTCTCTTTGAAATAAAAATAATAAACATATCACCAGCTAGGCGCAGGCAACAAAAGCGCAAGCAATAAATATTTCTCTATGCGCATTACCTGGTAACTTTTAAAGAATGAAGTGATTACCTGCTTAGAAGAAGGAAATGTGTCGTAAATAAAGATTGTTGGAAAAACCCCAGAAGATGGAAATGTGCCATAGAAAAAGATAGCAAGGAATTTACCTACGACACATTATACGAAGGACTAGATCACCCATTAGATTTTACCTGTTAAACTTTTTAGGTTTAAGATTAGCTATATAAGGAAAATGAATTGTTAAATAAAGTTAGTTCGTTGGTAAGGCTCAATCGGTCCATTTGTGAAGTCCGAACAATCCCTTTCGTAAGTGTTTTCATCAGGTATCGTTTCAATTCATTCGTCGAAGAAGCACAAGCCTACGTTTTAGTGAGGTCTTAGCCTTTGAGTTGAATTGAAGGTTGATCTTGATGCTAAGATACTTTTTTCATTTTGTTAAAGTTTCTAATTATTCAGATATAGGAATAAGCTCTCACTTTGGTAGAGCAACTATCCTATAAGTTTAAAAGAACTTTAATATAATTGAGAATTGAAAGTTGTGTCTAAGCAATCCTGACGGATTGAGCGCACCATTAAAAACCGTTCGCCGCGAACGTCTATCCTTCGCGTTCATTTGTTCAATAAGTGCTGAACAAAGTTTTTCAAAGTCTTCGCGTCGCGAACAGTGGCATTGAAGGGAATGAAAGGGCAGACGATCTCGCAAAATTAGGTTCCAAAAATTCACCGTTTATTGGCCCAGAACCATAGTGTGGAATATCAAACTATACGGTAAAAATGGAACTCAAATAGGCCGGAAATGGGGTAGTTAACCCTACCAAAAAGCTCTTGGAGCTCAATAACCGGGCTCTTAGTATATACACTGGCCTAGTAACTGGGCACTGTCCGAGTAGATATCATTTGAAGAACATTGGTCGGGTTCAGTGCGATATCTGCCCCTTCTGTAGCATAGAACGTGAAACCTCGGAACATCTGCTCTGCAGTTGCGGTGCATTACACAGGCGTAGATCTAAATTTCTTCGCAGTGTTATCTTACAACCTAGTGGAATTTGGTCTGCTAATCCTGGAAAGGTAGTTGGTTTCATAAACCATATCATACCTGACTGGGAAAGGACGTGTCCAGACAGTTAGCTGTTCACTCATTAAATGGTGCTTGCATGATTGGAACAGTAAACAGGGGTACCACAAATGTTCAAATAATGGACGCAGTGGTTCAACTCCCAAAAAAAAAAAAAAAAAAAACTCCGGACGGCGGGACCAAGAGCGTCTTAGGTGAACCGTTTCCTGCGGTATATAATTCATGCCTGGTGGCTTCAAGCTAGATCTCAAATGCTGAGCAACATCGTCGATGTCATCAGAAGCCGACATCAACTGAAACTCGTGAACGTAAGTGGAGGTGGATTAGCCAAGCAACTGTACAACTATTTTTAGACAGCATGTTTTTTTTTTTTTTTTTTTTTATTGGGTATCAAGCTGGAGCTGCGTGACAGCTTAGTTTTCAAGACTTGACCCATTTGAATAAATTTTGCTTCTATCTTTGACAATACAGCAGAAGGACTAGCCTATGTTGGCCGCTTGAACACTGGATTCCGTATGTATTGTTTCAAGATAGTTATAGAAAAAATGCTGTGACGTGTGCGCGTAGATACATCCGCGTAGTAAACCGATTGAATAAGTAAATCCGTTTCGAACGAAATATCTAAATTATGTAAGTTACGAAAACCGCGCGAATTCCGAAAGCCGTGCGAGACAACCGAAGCGAGAAAAAAGGCTTATTATCATTTAAAGAGTGCCACCAAAATAAATGTGATAGCCTATGTTGGCAAGTTGATTAATTTTGGTTTCCTCCCTAGATATTCTACTTACTTACTGCTGAGCTTTGTATCAAATTAGTTAATTTAAAGAACGTATCAATTATTTCAAGATTTCGCGACCGCACCGAACAAATTCTATGAGCTCAAAAGCGTTTGACAAACTTTACCGAATTGCGTATCACTTCTGCGTAAGCTCCGTAGACGTAGGCGCGTTGAATCCGACAGTCGGCAAAGGTTTAACCTGTACCAACACCGCTTAAGGAACGACCTCAAGTCAGTGAAACCGTTTATAGCTAAACATCTAAAAACGCCACGCGAAACAACCGTAGAGAAAAAAAACAACTTATTATCACTTAAAGAGTGCCACCAAAATAAATGTGATAGCCTATGTTGGCAAGTTGATTAATTTTGGTTTCCTCCCTAAATATTCTACTTATTTTACTGTTGAGCTTTGTTTCAATTTAGTTATTTTACCGCACGTATCAATCATTTCAAGATTTCGCGACCGTACCGAACAAATTCTATACTACAGAAGCTCAAAAAAACTTTTGGTGAGCTCTACCGCATTGCGAATCACTTCTGCGTAAGCTCCGTAGACGTAGGCGCGTTGATTCCGACAGCCGCGAAAAGTTAAACATGCATCAATACCACATAAGGAAAGATCGATTTTACGTATGGTTTAGTTCATAGATTAGCATTGACTGCTGTTTACAAATGTAAGTACTTGAACACTAAGAAATAAGTTAACTCAAATGCTTTAACCGCATATATAAGAGATTTCGCGTATTGAGAGAATTATATAGTAATCGAGTACAACAAACTCAGGGGAATACAATACCTCCAAAAGTTTAAAAGCTATTAATTGTCACATACCTTTACTTTTACTTATTTCCTAAACTATTCCTCTCCTTGTTAATCTGCTTAATAGTATTGGTCTGCCTGCGTTTTCTTGTTAATGTTCAAACCTAAATAAGAAGATTTATTCTACAACTTTAAAGGTTAGTTGCCTCCTAAGCGGACCCCCCGCATCCTAATTCTTTTGTTAATCTACTTAATGTCATTAGACTTTCTGAAGTTTCTTATTTAAGTTCATTTGATGATTATGATATCTCATTAGTCTAATTTAATAAATTATTAAAAGCTCTAATTCACCTAATCAATCATAACCCATGCTTTATAAAGTACCTGCACTTGTGCTTGTAATCTAAAATTAAACGTGTTTCAAGTACTTTTGATTTAAGCCTATACCTATTTATTATATCTTAGTTCGACCCAGGTAACACCTTCATGTGACTAAAATGCTTCATTTTGAAGTTAGTTTCCTAGCTGATATTTACATTATATAGGGTATATGTTCCAATTACGCTCTCACGCTTCCACTATGTCGCACCACAAAAATACATATGGGTATGTCACAATAGAAGCACATCACAGTGGAAATCCCGAGCCATAGTTCAAACACTTATCCCAAATCAAAATGAAGCACATATAAGATTATTTACAATGCCATGTCCAAAATGGTGTTTAACATTGTTCCCTGAGTAATACCTCAATGAAAACAACAATGAAAGCTTGTCACGCAAATAGAAGGAGCACCGATGGGCACTTTCTGAAATACTTCAATAGTATAATTCCCTTGCAAACCCAAATAAATCTATCGTAAAAAATAAATAAAATAAGAGTGATTTGCGGCAAAACCCGCCAGTATCACACCCAACGTCAGTGCCTATACGTAAGCGTACTACGACGCGGCTCTCAATAAAAGGAGTAACAAGTGTGATACTATCACTGCTGGACTAGATCTTTGGTTCTCTCATGCAGTGGTTTATCAGAGAGGGGAAGCTTAGTAATCCCCATTGCCTGCCCATGGCGCCATTCTATCGCGGCATGAGCCAGCAACGCCGACCATAAACCTACCGTCTCCAACACTCCACTAGCATGAAATTAAGCCCGCCCACCAACAGCAAGGTGCAAAAACTAGCCAAGGGGAGGGAACTATTTTTAGACAGCATGTTGTTCTCATAACTATTACTCGAGATAAAGCCTCTCTCAGACCTTCATAAAAATGACATATGTACATTATGGACTAAACAGTCTTCACCGAAAAATCAAGTCATTTGGAATTATAGTTAAAAAGTTACACCTGTTTATGTGTGTGCTATTTTAATCGAATACACTCTTCATATAAGGAACTATTTTTTTGCGCACTCAGCAGACATTATGAGGTGCATTTTGAAACAGTGAAAGGCTTTCTGGTGGGGGCTGTTTACAAACCACGTGAACAGTTTTTGGTAGATGTTAGATCCCCCCAGATTCATACACATCTAATCGATTTACTAAAGTACCGTGCGGGACCAAAGTTCGTACACCTGAAACATTATTAAAAATCCATACACCGTATGACGGAACTTACTAGAGAGTATCTGGAGGCCCGATGATAAGTACTTCCCATCGGAATATGTCATTATCGTCAATGAGGCCAGCCGAAAATCCTTCAACGGGGTTTTTGCTTAATTCTGAAAATAGACAAAAGATTAAAATGGATTAGCGCGATAATTGTCATATATGATTTTTTTTTAAATAGATATAGTTAACGAATACATGCAGCACCACAGCCATATTATTGGCAGAACGGTTCCATTATGGCCGTAATTGGTGTAATACGATGATGCGCCAATGTTATTCAGCACCGAAAAACAGTTAACATAATAACTATAGGTTCGCGAACGACTGATTCACCAGCACGTGAATTAGCACAATTGTGAACATCCCATTAGCCAAATACTTTCATAGATTTATACCTGAGGTTTCTAGATTTTAATTTATTATCTGATCCCTAAAGATCCCCACATATCCCCGTTTTGCATTTGACAATTCGCCTCGCAATTTTTGTTATCTGATTTACTAGATTACGTAGGGTAAGGTGGAGCAAGTTCGACCATCTGCTTGATTTGTTTATATTTTGATTTTTCAACATAGGCTCAAGTAGCCCCAATGCTGGTTTGAAAGAGCAAACCATCATTTAAGTTACATTGAAGCTGCTTGACAAACAAATAAATATAAATAACTGACCCATCTTCCCCGCGTCCCATCTTGCCCACCTCACCCTACATGAAAATCGTCGTTCATTGTGTCGCGACCTACAGGTTATGAAAACAGGCAAATAACATGATGCTTTCGTTGGAACAGTGAGATCTCAATTTGGCAACACGACACTAAGATTTTTAATATAAATAACATGGTAACCAGCAAATCCCGATTAGAAATTTCCCAGTTTTTCCCGAAATTCTGGAAATTTTCCCGATTGTGCGATATACATTTAAATTAAGCATAAAACCAAATACAATTCAGCCAATCAGATCCCTAGGTTAAACGAGTCACACGGCCAATGTGAGTAACTTAAAATTGAGTCGAATTGCAAAAAGTGAGGTAACACAGTGAATGAGTACAATTTTCTTCGATTTTCCTGGAAAAACTTCTTAAATATGAGGAAATTTGAGATATATTTCACTCAGTCTATATCCTAGAATGAGTAAAATGTATGACGATTGTCCAGGAAAAGTCAAGCGGTTGGTCACTTCGCACAGTGTGCCAAAAACATTGGCACTGTTTGGCACCCATGGTTAGAAATTGTCAAGATTTTTGATATTACTTGCAACACTGTTATATATTTGCACCTGCCAGCACATGTGTCAAGCCATTGTTGTTTAGTCAATGCAGTTTTTGGATTCGTCGTAATTTTCGGCCAAGACCCGCCATAGATTTCGTAAAACCAAGTTGAATTTCCCAGCGGCGCACATCCTAATGCCTGTCCGAAGCAGTACACCATCTGGTAGCCGTTAATACATCAAAACAAGTACAATCGATACTGCGTTGAAAGCAACAAGAACATCTGACTATGGACTTATGTTTAAATATTTGAGTTACCAGGACCAGGATGATCGGAGCTTTTCGTTGTGAAACCGAGCTGATATGTTTTGCCATTTCATCGTCCGTCCGTGTAGAATGCTGCATCAACGACCTTTCCAAATTCATCTTGGTTTACTCCCGGTATCGGTTTCAACAACCAAACCACAACGGGGAGTGCTTGTGGTTCATAGATATTTAAAAAAAAATCAATGGTTTTATCTTTGATGAAACTGGGAGATTACAAAATAAAGGAAGAGAAACAGATAGAACCGATGTCCTCCACTACTAATTATAGTCGCTATATTCATAGTCTGGCGAATAGAATTTCGATCTATCAAAAAGCGGAACCATTTCAATATATTTTAGACCATCAATTGAAAAAGTACTATCAACTTTTATAAACAAAACGTTGATTATTCTTTCCTTGCCAATCGAACGCAAATTACCGGCATCATCGGATAGGGAAAACTTTCCCCAACCCAAAGATGGTGTTAGTTTGCGTAGGCGAGCCTTGAGTCACGAGAAAAGGGTTTCCGAAGTTTTGTTCGCAATAGCTGATGTGCTCTTTTCTGTTGTTGGTCGTGATTTGCTCGATTGGTTCCGCTATTTGACAGCTCAATTGGTTCCCTAGATTCTATCCGCCAGACTATGAATATAGCGACTATACTACTAATCTGTACTGTGTTGTTTCGGTTTGAACAGTTTGAAATTGTCTTTTAGCTAGTTTTAGTTAGCTTTTATTTTGCCGTGACTACGAGATGGTGGCTCTCGATGACTGTTGCTCTACCGGACACATGACCGTTCCGGTGGCACCACGTTTTGAGTGCATCCACCTGCTGACACCTCGATGATGAAACCGCTGAAGCAATAGGAACACTTTCGCCGCATTGGTACAGAATTTTGGCCACCTCAAACCGTCCTTCCGCGGTGTCCCGGTCCGTTGTCAAGTAGCAATGGACTTCGCAGCCGTTTTAGATACCCGGAAGAGCTTCTCCCGTGCCTAATCGATGACCAGCTTCATGCTGTCGGCAACTTCATTGCCAACAATATTGTCGCGCTTATGTTAAATTCTCATTTGGTGACGGTCGAAGCGCGCCGCTCATAAGCGCGATGCAACCCCGCCCATAAGGATTATACCGAAGACTACAAACCAAGAAGACTGGCAACTTTGCCAAAAATCAGGAGACAGTAACGGCAACGCCTCTTCTGAGCAAAAGTGGAACCAGTGGTGTGTGTTAATTCACAAGTGCATTCACACAACGAGTAAAATTCCAGCTGAAATTGATCAGATGCGTAAGTAAATTTGTTTTGAATATTAAAACTATGGCAATGATGCCATTCAATATTATGGAGGGACCTTCCTCGATCATTAATTTGCTATCTCAGAATTATCTTCCACTTTTCCTAAGCCGTTTAGTGATGCATTTATGGGCATTCGTATGGTGCATTAGTAAATTGCATGCTCGTTCCGCACGGCTTTGGCACCTGGCCACAGTGGGGGGTTTAAGTTGTGTCGCTCGGCAACTTGGCACGGTACTCGCTAACCATTTGAATGTCACTGGCCAATCTGATACTGTTGTTATCATTCTATGGAAGAGTTCGGTCGATTCTAAGAATTGTTAAAGCCAGTGGCGTCGCGTAACCTCACTTTTTACCTGTGCACTAACTTTCAAAACCAAATTTAAGCCATATTCATACTGGAATTGGTTGAAAATACACTTAATATTCTAGTTTGTTCGATATATATCCATTGCAAGCAATATTTTGATAATTGCTTATGTTTTGAGAGTTGGTGTACGGATAGATTGAGGTTAAGGCGACGCCACTATTTTTTTTTAAATAATTTCCCTTAACAGAATTAATTTCAGAATTCTTCTAACATAAATTGAGATTCTCTCTGAAAGTACCATAAAAGTTTTGTTATAACAGTCCAGACATTCTCTAGAGAACACTCTCCAAAAAATTCATGAAACTCGTCCTTAGGTTCCCTTCCATTTTTTTTTTATAAATTCACTTGCATTATGGTTAGTTCTTAGTAGTCTTATAATATTGCTCAGAAGTATCATGGAATTCTCCTCTAAATTATTCTGAAAAATCACATGAAATTCTCCAAAAAATTCTCACAATTCCTTTGGAATTGTACCCCCAATATTTGATTCCCTTTGTATTTTTCACGGATCCTGGAATCCTCTTCATATTCGCCATGGATTTTCCTAAAGAGCCTGAATTTATAAAGAGACGACATATCAAAATTGGAACAATCGATTGTCTGTCAAAGTCATAGGAAAAGTCATTCCAATCGAGCAGAAGACCTGTCAAATGGATAATATTTCGCCTCTTTATAAATTCAGGCTCTTTAGATTTTCCCGCAGAGTTTACTCTGAAATCAAACAACTGACTTGGAATTTTATTCAAATCTCTCTTACAGTTTATCCCAAACCTACGACACTTTCTCTGAAATACCTTGGTGTTATCTCTAGAATTCATTCTAAACATTCATGCTTTCCAAACAATTATAAAATTCTCTTAATAGTTCTTCTTAGTGACTGTATCCTGAAAATCGAATCCAGTCCAAGGGTCTTGAAATTTTTTCAGGGTCCAAAATCTTATTTTTCTCGATGTGTATTTTCCTCATGTGTCATTGAAATTCACGGGTTTTTCCCGGTTTCCACGATTTCCCGGTTCACTGGCCACCCGAATATAAAAATACACAACGATGTTTAATCATACCAAATGTTTCTTCTTATTGTCAGCGTTTGGAATATCGAAAGAACTTGCATGAAACCAAGATAAAAATTATGGTTCGATATAATAACCCCGTGGAACGCAAAAAACGCAAAAAGCTTAGTTGTTGCCAAAATCGATATTTAACTGTATTTGCATACGAACATATTTTGTTTCACTAACACTCCAGATGTGTTGCCCGTTGTTATCTCGTTGTTGTCAATTTTATCGAAATGCGATAATAGATAGTACCTACCCAGCTCTAGTTTACATTTTGTATCTTTGATGCGCGAAATTTGTACCACACAGCTTATTCATGCAAGTCGCAGGAACGCCAACCGCGTCACATTTTAAATCATTTCAAATAAAGAACTTGTAGATATTCCTGCATTGTAATATTATTAACAAATACTTCCTAGTTAGAGTGTAATTTCATCAAACGTAGCATAAATTTTGAAAAAATACAGTACGAGAAAATTTCAATTTTGGTGTTGCTAAAAACGAATACCATGTTGCCAAAATCGAGATCCAACTGTGCAATCATTTTTATTCAAAAACCAGTCCTAGGTGTCATGCATAATTGACGTATCATTTGGTTCTTTCACAATATCCACGTTCTTCCAAACTTATTGAAGGCCTCGGAAGAACTGCTCATGTTTGAAAGAAGAAAAAATATACTTCAGCAATATTAGCCAATGCTCATACCCTAAAAAATGCTAAGCGCTCACGTACAATGCCTGGATATTCAATTAAGGGAGTATTTCCTTTGTCAAATATTTGAAGGCAGAAACATTCTCTTCTTCATGAAATATTTCCACATTTATTTTTTTATAAGTGTAACAACGTTATCACGTCGTCACACGACGAGTATGATTTTTTTGTG